ACTCGCTTCATGCTAACTATGACGCTTCGTCTTTTTCACTGCCCTTTATGCTGTCGATCTCTTCATACCAACTCTGGGTCTGTCTCCTCTTTTATCCGTGCTCTTTATCATCTTCCTCTCTGTCTCTCTCTCTGAATTCTTCCCTCTCTGTTTTGTCCTTTCGTTACATTTTTCTCTGCTTCTTTCAAGCCTTCCTCAAGTGCTACTGCTACTAACATTATGTGTACAATATGAGTGTGTGTGTGTGTGTGTGTATATATGAATAAAACCTATACAATATAAAACTGAGGTGGGAGACTGGACATTCAGTCATTGGGCAGCAGCAGATTAAATTCATTGCTCATGGACATTTCTTTTTGTCCATTCTGTTAGAGATTTATAGTTTTGAAAATAAAGGTTTAAATAGGAAAGCATTCACTGAGACAGAATTGTGTTATGCATTTACCATAAAAAAACATAAAGCCTTCCAGTGTAAACACAACGGAGACGACTAGAAAGCTGCAGTGTGTCTGTGATGCTGTTGACTCATCAGCGCTGGAACATGGATCTCACATCAACAGAAGAAATTGAAGCGACTGGATCTGCCTGTGAAAGCGAAGCACGAGCCACTTCTTCAAATAACAAAGCTTGACAGGGATTATTTAAGAGTACGGAAAAAACACTGGTGCTGCATCTGTACAGTTTTTGAAAAATCTGTTTTGTTTTATGCTTTTTGGATTTTATGTGTCTCAGTGTGACTAGGCAGTGACATCCCAGTCTATCCCATCTATCTCATTTCTATTTGAGTTAAAAAGTAAAAGAAAACTTGCACTGAAACAAAGCACTTTTTTGCCTGACCTTTTGAAACTCTCCAGAAGCTGGGTTGGCTCTCAGCAAGCAGAAAAGGAAAGAAGGCTGGCTCTCTGACTGACATCTTTTAGTGGATGTCCGCACACCACCTTAAAATTAACCTTGACAAGACCAAACTACTTTTCCTTCCCATGACCTGACTATTACCTTTCACAACTCTGTGGTAACCCCCACCCAGACTGTTAGGAACCTGGGTGAGACACTCAACAATCAACTCTCCCTTACTGCCAACATTACTGCAACAACCCACTCGTGTAGATACATGCTTCCCAACATCAGGAGAATACATCCCCTTCTCACTCAGAAGGTGGCACAGTTTCTGGTCCAGGTTCTGGTCCAGGTTCTGGTCCAGGCTCTGGTCCAGGTTCTGGTCCAGGTTCTGGTCCAGGCTCTGGTCCAGGTTCTGGTCCAGGTTCTGGTCCAGGCTCTGGTCCAGGCTCTGGTCCAGGCTCTGGTCATCTAATGCGTCATGACTACTGCAACGCCCTCCTGGCTGGTCTACCGACCTCTGCAGCTCATCCAGAATGCAGCAGCTCAACTGGTCTACAACCTAAGTTCACTCACTCCGCTGAGAGCTGACAATTCACAAGTGCACAGAAAGCAGCCCGAGTGCGGAGAAGGGCTGAAGCTGGAGTGCAAGCACACAGTTTGAGCAGAAGCAGAGCAAATTTAAGTGCAAACAGGGGCTATTTGAGTGCAAGGGCGGGGCTTTGATGAAGTAAAACACAATCTGAACATAAATTCAACAAGTCATGCTCTCAAACTGAAATATCATACTCTTGAATAAAGATTGGAAAAAAGCTCCATACTTGATTTAAAATGTGCTTCAAGGAAGCATGAAAGGTAGCCTAAACAAGTTTCACAGACTTCCTTCTGGTTTTGTTCCTGTTTGAGCTTCACTGTTTAAGTGTTGTGCTATTTCTTCCTCTTATGAATACACCAAGACTTATAACTTGTTCACAAAGGTCAGAGTTGTATGTCACACTTCTCAAAACCTAATAAATGATTGCTAATATAAAAGCTACATTTTAATTTGAGCCTTCACATCTACATCATCTGTACTCACATAACCTGATATACAGTGATGGAAATGAATCAAGCACATTAATTCAAGTCCTGGTCCTAAAACTGTATTGAGGCACTAATACTTAAGTAGCATTTTATTTAATTTTATTGAATGTATTTATCATACAGGAAAGGATCAAAAGTAATATTATAGTTATACCATTTTATGTTTATTTAGAACATATAACCTAACTTTATTACATAAAGAAATACTTTACTTTTAACTTTACTACAATAGTGAAGCAGCTACAAAATAAATATTTTACATACAAAACAAATGTGAGCTAAAATATAATGCATTATATTGAACTATTTCAAGTATTTCAGATTATCTCCAAGTCAACCAAGTGCAATCACATTGCTGCTTACATGCTTAGATATCAGTTATATATCCAATATAACACAATATAATCATGAATATGTTTGCTTCTGTAACAATGTATCTAGATCTGCTATAGATATGCTGTACTGTATGTGCACTGATGACTACTTGTTCCACACAGATTCTGATAGATCCACGTTCTGTGTTCTTACAGATCAACGAGCGGGAATAAAGTACAACATTTCGGCCATGAACGGGTTGTGTAAAAGAGGCTACAATGAAAGCACCTTCACTCTATATTACACAATCTAACTATACATAAAATAGTAAGTTGTCAGGTAGGACACGTGCTGGAGAAAAACATGGTGAAAGGCTGATCAATAGGGCCCAGCTCCAAAAAGCTCCATTCGACATATTCCCAGTTGAATCCACAACTCAACCTTGCTTCTCCTCACCAGAGAGTAACAGAGAGAAGAGAACACAGAAAGAGGGAGTGAGAAGACAGAGCAGAGAGGCATTTTTTGAATTGAGTAGGACAGAGCGATCAAGAGGGAGCAATTGAATGTGTGAGAGTGCGAGAGAGAAAGAAAGAGAGGGAAATGGAGACAGAGGTTGAAAAAGAAGGAGGAGGAGCAGAGGAGGAGGGGGTGGTGGTGGCTCGGCACAATAGGCCTAGACATGAATGCTCCTCGACACTCGTTTCCACACATCCCCTTCAATTTCAACTCTCTAATGGAACTAGCGACTCTCCACACCCACTCACATTGTGCACAAAGAACATGCACACATGCACACGCACGCACACACACGTGGCATAAGTGGTTGTGTGTGCTGTTTGTGCCAGTAATGAGCCACAGTATATATGAGAATTCTGATAAAGATAAGCACATTCTCAAAAACACACACACACACACACACACAGTGAATTTCATCCCTGTCAGATAAAGGAAAAGGGGTGTAATAAATTACACGCATATGGCTTAGTGTGTGTGTGTGAGTGCGTGCGTGTGTGTTTGCCCTGCATGCATCACAGTGCCTGTGCGATGCCTCCTACCTAGAGTTTGTGTCGGTGCATATGTGAAGGTGTTTAAATCATGGAAGCTGCAACCCGCGTGTGTGCTTGTGTGTGTGTGTGTGTGTGTGTGTGTGTGTGTGTGTGTGTGTGTGTGCGTTTGTTTCCATTTGTCAAAGCCCTCTCGGTTCCTCCAATATGGCTGTCAGCATGCGCCGTCAATCATAAGACAGTGTGTGTGTTTGTGTGTGTGGCGGCAGCTCCAGACGAGGTCATAGATAAGGACTGGCCCTTCGGAGGCCCATTGCTCTCTCCCTCCTACAGACGAAGCATAAATTACTCCCCTTGCTTCAGCCACACTAACTGATATATGGGCCCCAGACTGGGTGAAGTCCTTTACTCTCATGTTTCAAATGCAGTGTCTTGGACAACTGATAATTGATGTTTTGCAAATAAAAGCAATTAAACATCTGTCACAATTGGGTCACAATACTATTCCATAAATGAATGTTTCCAACACCAACTATCAAACACTACCACATGACTGTGCCGGCAAAACCTTAATTGGCATTGTTCTGCAATTCCGAAACTTTTCGATTCCTAAATATTCACAAGCAAAAGCAAAAACAGCTAAACCCCTTGGCACTTGTATTTTACACACAGCCTCAGGTGACATCATTCAACCGTCTCCGAACACTGACATTATCTTTGCAATTCACACCTGCCAATCAGTGAGCTGCAGGTGTGCGGAGGGGAAATGGGCTTGGGAATGCACAGCTGCGCCTGCATTGACAGAACAACACGTTCCACGTTCTGGAAGTAAGAGTTTAATTCTGCACAGATCAGGTTAGATGACTGGCAGCTGGAACACCTCCAAGGTTTTGACGGCCATCAAAATCTTCCAGCTAAACCATCAGCACGGACAAAAAACAATTGTGATAACGGATTGCGGTGAAGGATCAGTGGTCCTTGAAACTGCTGTTCACCACAAGCTTGTGATGATTTCTCAGCAGCACATCAAAGTGAATAAAGTCTAACACACACCTGGTAGAAAGGTGCATAAGAAAATTAAGGGAAGGAAAAGATAGTTGCAAATTCCTGCACAGTTTAGTGAAAAGCAACATTAGCCTTTGAGACTCTTCATTGGTTTCTACATTGCAACAATGTCATGTGATCTGTAGTATTTACAGCTATCTTCCCTAAAAACTTTAAGTGTATATAATTTTCCTGATCTATAAAATCAGGAATATCACCCTGATGTGTAGAAAACATTCAAATAATTTACCATCACCTGTAGCTCTGATTACTTTGCTTCTCTAATGGGTTGATGATTTTAAACGCATCATTTTGTGAGCCAGTCATTTGCTTACAACAGCTTTGAGCTTGAAGACTTAACTTGCTGCAAATAAACTGCAGAGGGAATATTTCCTCAGGCTGCTGCACAGAAATATTGAAATAAATATATAAATGAAGACTTTTTATTTTAGGAAATATTTCACAGCCTACACTGGTACACAGTAAAACAGCAGAAGAACAGCCTTTACCAACTATACAGACATTGTATAGACATTGTTAATGTTTCTGGCCTATAGCTACATAAACATGCACACCAGTGTGAATCCAGGCTTCATAAGCAAAGGAACTCTTCCTCTAGTATTTACAGCAAAATCAATCTGCTAGTCATGGATATACAACCGTTTTATATGCAATGGGAATGAATGGGTTTCCCTTAAGGATTAAATGTAGACTCACCTGTTTGTGCATCTCAATATTGAGCCCATAGGACATCTCATAGTACTGGAAAGAAAAAGCAGATTAAAAGACAAAAATGTTACAAGAGGTAGCAGGACTTAACACTTTCTTTCAGCTAATCATGTAGCAGTGTTGTTTATAAAAAACAAACATAAAATAATAATTCACCGGCGATAAAAGAGTATGATATTTCTCGCCTCTGGATGTGCTTATTGCAAACTAAATACGTGGGACAAGTTTGAAGATTTTCAATCATCTAGGGATTCAAAATAAATATTTCATGAATATAAAGATGACTCTCAACCCAACATAACAAACCTTCAACACAGTAAAGACTCCTAACATCTTAGATATTGACTCTACAATCGTATTCTCATTCAGACCCACCTGCACGCACAAAGAGAAGCTAAAATTAGGAAAACTAACAGTGTGTGTGTGTGTGTGTGTGTGTGTGTGCGTGTGTGTGTTCAGTGTTAATGAGAGGGCCACCCTCTAGGCGTCAACCCTGTTAATCACCCACTCTGTCTGCAGGGGGACTGGCTTTGTCACTGGAAAACAAACAGCACAAAGATCTCTCACACACAAATGTGTGTGCACCAACACAAACACTCTCCTTGATCTCACACTGGCACTATCTTGTATGTGAATGCACGTTTACACAAACACACACACACACTTTTCTGTAGCGGCCCACGCGGAAGCTCCCTAAAGTAATTACAGCACTGGGAAAATGGAGGTGCTGCCGCTGGCCGGGGGAGTGAGGCAACCCGATATGCTATTAGAGAGCTGGTCGTGGTGGAGGTGTTGGGGGGTTGTCGGGTTGTTGTGGGAATACAAGGCTGGGCCTGCTACTAGTAGAGTGGAAGTACGATTAAAAGTGTGCATTTGTACATGAATAGTGTTTGTGTGTTGTGTGTGTGTGTGTGTGTGTGTGTGTGTAAGAGAAAGCAAGTGAAGGAGGAGCAATATTACATTTATGGTTCAATCTCATAGCAACAATTTGAGTCAAACCAGAAGATGGTTTCAACTGAAACTGCTTTTTTTGGAAAAGATAAATTCTTTCACAGATTGATTACAGTGTGAAACCTGGTTTATGCTGCTCTTCCAATGCAGAGCTCTCACATTCTGAACAAATGGAAAAAAAAGTATCTGCTCCTAATGAATTCAAGCAGAGGACATAGTATGAAATCCATCCATTTGTGCTGCTGCATCACTAACAGATTTGTTGTTGTGGTTACCATGCTAAAGTCAGCAAACACACTCACTTTTACCCATGATCTTTGTTTGGGCTGCAACTTTAAGTATTACAGATTAATCTGATATTTCTGAATAGCTCAAAATGTCTGCATCAAATAATAAATGTGATTGCTACCAATGTAGCTACATACATACGATGTAGCCTACAACAAAGCCTTAGGAGCACAACCCCAGAAAAGAACAACATAGCGAAGTGCACCATACTGTACAAATTGAATACAAATAGCAAAGAATAATAAAGACACTAATGAAAACCCTCCATTTTCCTTTCGTTTCCTTGAGATGAAATTATAATTGAGCCATCATTTATTTTTTATATCTTTTTAAATGTTTGTGTTTTTGTGTCAATATGTGTGTGTTCTATGGCTGTCACTGATTCCAAAAAATTACATACCCTAGCATAATCTTGTAGTCCAGCTATCTTAATGGTGATGGTGTTTACTGCTGAAATTGATAAATAGCAGGTGGCCAGATGACGTGACGCTTCTCTCGTCTTTTTACGTGGTAAGCTAGCAGGTGAGTCTACAAATTTGTTGTTGCTGTACAGTCCACACACAGCCCTACTTTGGCCATATATGTTGTAGAACCAAAAATATATGAATGCGAGCACGCACACACTTCTTGGTTACTTCGGTGTCGAGATCAGCTAAAGACCATTTTGCTCACTAGTGCCCTTGCGAATCAATGCTGGCTTAACAAGTCAGTCAAAAGTCAAGCTAAAAGATAAGATTTAAAGCGCTACAGTCAGTCACAAGTCAAACTTTAACACATTTCAAGCAGAATTTGACCCACAACCATATATGAAAATGGACAACTTGACTGCTTCCCAAAAGTGATGCTGAAGCATCTCTATCACCACCTGGTGGCTGGCTACATTGTAGGTCATAAATCCAGCTTCCTAATGTTAGCAGATGGGACAAACTAACTAGCTATTATCACACTGATGTATGTTTGAGTACTCATTTTTGCTGTAAATGTGGTTTTAATTATTTTAAAATCAATCAATTATTATAGAATGAATTATTGTTATTTGATGTAATAAAAAGAGGGGAAACATCATGACTGACAGCTGAGACATTCTTGGGATTGATTGAGCACGTAAATCAGCGAGACGAGATTACCGCTATTCCATCCCAATTGCCACAGCACAGACTCTGGCTACAAATGAGTAAAAATGGCAGCATTCGTATCCAGAATATTTTGACCTTACTTCTGGAAGTGGGAGAAAGTGGAGACGCGTTATCTATCTTTATATAGTCAATGATTTGAACAGGTCATTACAGGTTCAATATTAAAATGTTCACCTTTGAAAAAAAATGTTAGCCATAGTGTGTTTGTGTATGTGTGAACGGCTGCAATCAGGCTAACAATGCCTGAGTGAGTGTGAGAGCGTGTGCACTCACTCTTGCCCGAGACACACACAGAGGAAGTGTGTGTGTGCATGTGTGTGTGTCTGCTGGCTGGCTGATGGTGGAGAGAGCAATGCGGCGGCACAGATTAGATGAGATTAAAGCCAGTCAGAGGATCAATTAGAGGCAAAACATCAGACGGCTACACAGCCACGGCCAGCAACAATGAGATTAGCCCGGAGGTGGAGCAGAGAGCGGGCAAGCACATCTGTGTGTGTGTGTTGGTGTGTGATGGTGTGTGTGGAGAGAGGCAGAGAGAGAGATAGGGTAAAGAGGAAATGAAGGGGGTTTGGAAAAGACGAATCACACGTACAGTAACTTCAGGAAAAAAAAGATTAATATTAACTATTCATTCCAATTTATCTGACCTATATAATGATATTGGTAATAATATCACTTTTCTAACCACATTCATTGTTAAGATCTCATAAAACAGTGATATTGGTTGGACTGGGGTGTGAATGAGCCAATAGTTTACCCACATGATCTAATTTTATATCCAGATAAAACTAAATGTGAGCACATCCTAAGTCAACTAATTTCTGTTACTGCAAAATATGGTATCATACACTTTGATTTCATTATTCTCATACATGCGACTATAACACACTTTCAAATTAATAGTAACTGTCAAACAAAAAGCTGTGTACTCCCACACATCACAGCCAATTAGGTCAACTGCCACGATTGGTATGTTTGATGCTGCAAATCACTTAACGAAAACACAAGTAAATGTTTTGGTAAAGAGTGAGCTAAACAAGAGCATGGAAATAGTTCCTCGGTCTATCTACTAAAAATTATAATCTATTTAGGATTGGGAATTGACTATGACTTGAATCGTGACGAGAATCTAAACTGAATTGTGAAATTCCCACCCCTACTGGTTAACCAATTGGATTTGTTTAAAACATGTATGACTGTTTCTGCTGGTGATTCTTGCCCAGTCTCACTTGTATCTGGCAGTGAAGCTGCATCGCAAGATGTCAGCAATTATCTTGTTGTGTTCAGTTTAAAAGAATACATATAACAGATGCCCCAGACTATGAAAATAAGATCCAAGTTGTAATAAACCAGAATGACCTGCTCAGAGACAGAAACCAGACATGAGAAAACAATTACATAATAAACAGTGAGGTGGTGGAGGATGACTGGAAGAACAATTGAAAATAATTTCTTTGAAAATATACATCAAGAGAATTTACTAAGGCAGCAGGAGATGTCCGAGACACATTCCCAAAAACAGGGAAATGTCCAGAACATTCAGGCAAGTGGTGGCACCTGGGTAGAACACGTAGAAGGCACGACAGACACGATGTGAAATCCCGTTTTTTTTAAATAACACATCGACACCAGGGTCGGCCCTGATTACCAAAATGTCTTTGTCTTTCCAAGTTTACATCTTCGTCAGTATTTTCTACATATATGGGCTCTTTTTTTACCCTGACATATTTGTATAATTTTTGTTTTGTGTCCACCACGTGTTAGAAATGTCATCAACACGCAAACTCATGAGCTGTGAATTTCCCAGACATTTTCCTGCTAGATTCTCACATGGGCTGGCAGGACATTTTCCATTGGACATTTTAAATGGGCACCAGAAGGAAAAATGTCCGCAGCTACTGACTCACATACACCCCCTCTGGAAAATTTCAGGAAAACACTTTGACTTCAGTGGATGTCTAAAAGCAGATTGATGGTAAAAACAACATTTAGGAAATGTTCACCTATGGTGCACAACACACACTTCACTCACCATGATATAATGGCGCTGCATCTCTGACTTCTCACTGGCCAACTTGTCACACTCAAGCTTCAAACTGTGGAGAGAGAGAGACAGAGAGAGAAGCACAGCGTCAGACCTTGTTAGTCAGCTTGACAGTGTCCCTCCCAAAGTGCTGACACCCGATGACTTCTCCCCCCTTCATCATCATTACCTCCACTTTCACCAACAGCACTGTCATCACTTTCATCATCACTTCAACCCTCATCACTGCCTCCACATTCACAGTCATCAGCATCGCCTCCGTTGTCATCATCTCAGCCACCATTAACATCTTTATCATCACCACCTCCATCATCATTACCACCATCTTCACCTTTACTAGTCAGTGCCTGCATATACACCAAGACTGTTATGGTGTCATTTGACAGGTGGAGGTCAAACTTACTCTGTCGTCTAAGAGATGTTGAGCCAAGACTCTGCTTTCTAAATTAGAGGCGAGGCAATGAAGTAAAAAGTCTAAATATAGTGTCAGAGCATTTCCTGTGACCCAGTCCCTGCGACAGCCATTAGCTGTAATCATGTCAGAGCTGATGTTATGCGAGGCGACAGGACAAAGGAGGACGCGTCAACAAGTCAGCCTGATCGTCAAGTGTTAAAGACAAGAATAAAAAAAATAAAACGCTCCTTGATGTCTTTGATCGAAACAGCCAGTTACAACATGTCGGTCTCAGAAGGCATCATCTGATGTGAGGACTGGATAAGACTCAGATCACCTAAAGATATGCACACGGTGGATAGGTTTATATTTAAGGTACGTCTGACAAACCTGTTTGCTGGTGTGTGTATATTTATGCTGGGATTTCTTCTCAGCTGTCAGCAGGAATGACAGCTCGATTACAGTGAGCGCTCACTGAATCTTCATCGCTGTGAGTCTTAACTGGTAGACTGAACTCCATGCAACACACAACCATAATATGGGCTTACTCTTCCTCACAGTATTTTGCTTCTGCTGTAATTATTGCAGATATTATCAAATATAATAAATCAGTTGCACCGACACTGAATACACGTGTAAGACTACTTTTGATGTGATTGTCATCGAGCCCCTAAGTTTATAAACGGCTGATTGAAATACTTATTATGGAAAATCTGTCATTTAATGACTCAGAATCTTTGTGGTTGTTGTTTGGCAGAAACATCCTCTAATGTCTCATCTCAGCTCTAATGATGCTTCTCTTAAACAGAATCTTTTTCCAAATCTTTTTCTGTCACAGCAGATTGGGCTTTTTAGGACGTGGGCCAAAACAAGGTGGGGTGATGAAGTTATATACGGAATGTGGAAAAATAATGTGTATTTTGAAGAATATAACACCATTAATGCCTAAAATAGAGCCCCAATTTAGAAAATTATAAACTTGTACATGGCCAAAATATGGGCAGTTTAATAATCTAATATTAGCCTTTGGATGCGTTCAGTTTTAAAAAACAAGACTGTTAGCAATTGCATCAGTTTGCTCCAACTAATTCCAAGGATATTGAGACCAAGTGATAACCTTGTTTGCATTTCTCCTTGTTTGAAATTATCTTTAATTGTAAAAAATGTTTAACGATCTGAAATTATGCCCTGTTTTTTCAGTTTATCCAACAAGATAATGTACCCAGTGTGTGAAAATGTCAATGTGTTATTGTTTGATCCATTATGCAGCTGATGCTAACTGCATGTTTCTCTTTGTTGATATCAATCAAACAACTCTTCCTCTGCATGAAATCATCTGAAGGATTTAACTCTGAAGGAGCATGACTGATATTTGACTTAGTTACTTAGACAAGCATCTAAATGTATTTTTCAACAGACACTGGTCTACAACTAGTTATGGATCAGCTTTCAATAATTCAAAGAAGGAATGGAAATTAGGCGTGTCCTGTGGAATCTGAACACATTCAGTCCGATTTACTGGTTAGAGATGATCATGGAGGTTCACACCATGGCACGCAACAGATACCCAACCTGTTTTACTGTCTGGGGGATGTTTTTTTTTTCTGTGTTGTTTTTTACTGGTGAGGGGCGGTTTTATTCTGCCGCCTTCTTCCTGTGTGTGAATGAGCAGCCTCCACTTATCCAAAACGCGGCCCTTCCCTCCTACATAAAACCTTTTCTGCCATCCCTGTGTTCATGTGTAGGCTGTGTGGTGGGTTGTCATGGCGACAGGCCTCCCTGCTGCCAGCCTACCTGGGATTGGCTTTGTGCCTCCTCTGATTGGTGCTCAGCAGCCCCTGGGCCTGCACCGCTGCTCTCAAACGACACTTTGATGGAGTTTTATTGCCGAGTCTTCCGTCTCTAAATCGCTTCTGCTGTCATCTTTATTTTGATTTATGTATTCCCTGATCTATTTATGCATGTGAACGAGGGGAGGGGAGAAGAGAGAAGGGGGGAGAGGAGGGGAAGGTGGGAGGAGGAAGACTGTGACAGCTACAATACTTGCTACTATACCCGGGGGAACGCCTGTGGTACATTTGCCTTTTAAAGGCTTCAGCACCAGACAAGCACAGCGCAGCAGCAGCGAGCTACAAAGCTCTGTCTGTGGTTCACAAGCCCCCCACCCCTCCGCAGCCCCCCTCCTGAGTCAATAGGCACTGTATGCATGTTCTGTATGCTCAGACAAAAAAGGTATTCTTTCAACTGCGCCCTGCCTCTCTGAAGAGGGTTAAACGGTGCTGCTCACCGTAGTGGGAATTACACAAACCAAAGGCGAGGAAGAAGACACGCGGGGTGTTATTGCAGCTTCAGAATCCTCCACAAACAAGAGCGATCAGACCAGAGCCGGGATTTTGCACACAATATGCCAGACTTTCATCTGCCTGCGCCTGCCTCGGCAGAGGCAAGCCTCTCGAAGGTTCTCGGAGAGCAGGTACAGAGAGACAAACCAAACTCCTCAGGAAGGAAAGTGGGCTTCAAAGACTTCGCTCTCACAAAAAGAGGATCTCTCACTGAGATGCAGACCCCGTGGCGTCCCCTCCTCTTTATAAGTACTATTAAAAAGATCAATTTAGATCAGATCAAGCACTTTGGAGGTGCCTCAGACTTCTGGCACTGTAGCAGTATTTAAGCAGTAAAACAAGATCGATAACTAGGGTCAACGAGATTGACTTAGGAATGAGTCAACAAAGGATGTTCAGGGTGCACTGTGGTAGAGTTCAAGGAAAGAGGAACAAAGGCAGACATCTTTATGTTATCGCTGATGTTTAAACATTTTTTTGCTCACATCCTAATAATTTCCAGAAGGAACTATTGCAGTCTCGTACACAAATAACAGAAAACAGAGACTTTGCTCTGGGATGATTATTTTACATAGTAGTTGTGTTGACCTAAATTACCAGAGACATTATGCTTCATGAATGTAGAATTGTGTGCATTGCTGTGGACAAACATTTGTGCCGGGTCCTCTGACCTGTTGAGCACTAAACAAAAGTTACAGTAGCTTAATAGGAATTAATGTAGTGAAGGTGAACCAGGTGAACTACATAAAAAAATACTAAGAATTAAGAGATCTGTAAAATAAAAAAGCAGGTTTATCTGTTTGTGACACAGTGAGGAGGAATTAAGTTTGGAAAAAGGCAATACATTTCTGGCTAAACGGTTGTAGGTTCTTGGAGCCATCAACTCAACACTGTAGGCAGTTACTAAAAGGTGTTCAATTGGAAGAACACTCACACATATATAATAATACAGTATATAGTCCTTAGACAAGGAGCTATGTTTAGCAGGCTACCGTATGTAACTGCTCCCTTTTGGTCTTTGTTTTGTGTGTATATGTCTGTATGCATATAGGTGTTTCTGTTTGCACCTGTGGTATTGTGCTTGGAGGAACTGGAACTCATCCTTGATCCTGTCACAGGAGTCGGAGGTTGTGAATTTCAGCTGCTGCGATGAAGCCTGCCAAAGAGGAAAAACAGGAGAGAAGAAAACGTGAGAACCAAAAGGAACAGAGAAAGGGCTGCAACAGGGAAAGGGAGCAGAGTGACTTTATGTAACATAAAAACAAAATTAAGCAGCATTACTGGTTTGGTTGCCAAGTATGCTTCCACACACAAGGAGCCATACACACACAATCCTATAAGGTCTCAGAAATAAAACTGTGTATGCACAAAGCATAAAAATGCACCCATTGTTACTTTCAGATTTTTAAACCTCTGAATATACACTGCTCTGTTTTATATTTCAATCACTGAGAATAATGTGCCTGCACTCAAATTTAAATCTCACACAGCCACAAATGGATGTTGACACTCCCATATTTAACCATCTATAGACATAACCCAGACACTCGCTGTCCTTGCTCTGGCATTGGCAGCGTCTTTACAACCTTAAGAGTTATTACCCAGGGACGTACAATAGCATATGTTGTAAGCCATAACAGCAAAGTGATTGATGACACAGGAGTGCGTCGAACTTATAATCCACTGTGTGTTAGTGTTTCAACATTCCTTATTTTTATTCCAACACTCAGTTTGGTTGGCAATAAGAAAACATACTCAGGCTAGAATGAATCATTCCTGTTTGAATAAGGTCGGAAACACATATGATAAACATTATTATAGGGAACTTGGTTGAGACTGTGTTGAGCACTTTGATGTGCTGAATATTTTGCTCCAAATAAAGTGTCTCCTAAATTCTCAGTTTGACATCATTTAGCTCTTTGCCATATTGCATCATCACATAAGCAGTGCCTGTTCTAAGGCATGTGTGGAGCAAGAGTGATAATGTTAGTATTTTATTCTAAAGTATAAGTAAACTAAATATCTTTTATTAATGATATCTAAAATGGTCTTTAAAGTAATTTATATGAAATGGCAAACCAATGAAAGCCATCTTAATCATAAAGGCAAAGTAAAATGTTTCCCCAGTGGTCAAATCTGCTGTAGTCACACAGTATGTTGCCACAGAAACTGGTACTTGGTTGAGTTAGCCTAAATGCCACAATCACAACAGGTTAAATAGACATAATAAACACATCATGTTTTCATCCAAACCTTCATCACTAAATAAAATGCAAAGTAACATATAAACATTTGAAACAGGTTCTGCTTTTCTTCAGCTGTACTGCATATCGTTTTTTGGAATGGGTTTCTGGAACAAAATATTCTGCTCGGAAGGTAAAACTAAATGTTCCAGATATTTTAAGGAGTTGCCCACAGGGCTACTGAGAGACGGGTCAAGAAGATGTTTTGTCATATTACAGCAGGAATGACAACAATAATCACTGTGTCTGGCATCTGTAAGAAGTGGGTATTAAACACAGCCAAAAGAAGTGAACAAAAAATAAGGATGATGTTGGATGAGAATAAAATAGAGACAAAATTAAGAGTCATAATTCGTGCTGTGTAGCAAACAAATACAATTTTGAGGCATCGCCTGCTTGTGCCGACCCCAGTTGTACCTTGCGTTGACCTTGAATATAAAAAGAAAATCAACAACAATATCTGCAAACACTTCTGACTTTGCTGTCTGTCCACAGCAGCTTGTGCTTTCTAAACAGCACATATCGATGATTTTATATCTTAAGTGGAAAAACTACTCTATAAAAAAAATGACAAAATGCGAAGGAAACAAAAGGTGCAAAATTTCAGATTCAGAATCAATCAAACATTCCCGCCTTGAGGAAGCTGTGTTACAGGGGCTAGTGTATTTTCTTAACTCACATGATTGCCATTGGTCCTATGTGTAGCCATGCACTAGCCTAGTTAGGATTAGTGGTGTGCATGCTGGAGAAAACTGCACCACATACCATCTACGTCATATCAGAAGACTTCTTTTGTGCCTTGTACAGCCGGCTACAAAATCATTCATTCACCTAGCATGAATGTTGCTATTCGCCCTTATTGTAATTCTGTCCACACTACATTCCCCAAGCAGCGGTGGATGGCCTGGCTGTGTGTTAGAGCACAGCAAGCATCAAACCCAAATAGGGACAAAATCTCATTATTTCTCAGCAGGCTGCATAATGGGTCAGGTGGGGGGAGGAAAAGAAAAAAATCGACATTTTCCCACTATGATTGAGTAGGCATAAAAAACCATCAGAAATCTGATTGCAGCACTTACTGGAAACTAGCCTGCTGCTGTTAGGAATGACCTGTCACTTTGTACTCCGCTCCCCCGGCATGTCGCTCAGCTTCATTTTTAACTACAAACAGGCTGTTTCGCATTCACAGAACCATGGCCAGCGAATATGCTAAGCAACAGGATTGCTTCAGGTTGTAGTCATAGACCTCTGGCTTCAAAGGCTGATTTCTTTTTTTTGCTTTGTCGCTCAGGAGGCAAGGGCTTCACTCTTACATGTTTAAGGGTCAGGGATGGATTCTTACAAAACCTTCCTAGGGTACAGCCAATAATTCCTCGTGGTTTTCATTTGGGAATTAATTTAAATATTTCAGATCACATACAAAAATATCTACAATTGGGGAATTCTGGAACATTAAGGTTGGAAGAGAAAGGCTAACAGTTAGAAGAAAATTTTAAAACAATGTAGAGACAAGCACAATGACCAGAGCCATTACACGTTCAAATGTCATGAGAAGTGCTGACATTATCATGCTGCTACCACACAGAAACCCCCAATCCACAGGCCGAGCGGCTGCTCAGAGACAGAGACTCCGACTGTAAAGCACAGTAACCTTTTCCATTATCTCTCCAGCCAGTGTGGCATGGACCAAACTCAGCAAACAACAGCTCGGCTATATGGCTCTGTGCCACGCAGAGCCTGTGTCAACACGACACACTTAGCTACAGGCAGCCGTGCAACTCACTCCTTGCACTTGTACAGTTTCTGAAGCGTGCGTGTGTGTGCTAGTGTGTGTGCGTCTGCATACAGGTTGCCCCCAGTGCCGGAGGGTAGAGTTGTTGCCCTAGATCCAATTTCCTCCCTGTGTAGCACAGTATGCAAACATTAAAATACCAAAGTTTCTCTCAGTCAACAGCCCCAGGTCGGGCATCCTGTTCCACAGGGAATAAAGAGGGAGGCTGGGAAGACAGACAGAGGAGGACAAAGACAGGGAAAAGAAGTGGGAATGGAGAGCAAGAGAATTTTAAAGTCAGAACTTGATAAAACCAAAGGCCAATAATGGCATATTAGGACTTTTATGACTTAAGACAATAACCTTTCTGATTAATCAAAACTTTATAAGTTCAGTTCAATCTGTTAGTAATTCTAGAAGTGAAGGGAGAAAAGTAAAATATGTCTTTAAAACATCTACCGCAGCCCCTAACTGAATCCAGACATCACCTGGAGTATCTGTGAGTAAAAACGCATTTGTCCAAATCAGTCGGATCAGAAACTACCAGCTCCCCAAGTTTGTGTGAGTGGAAGTGGGAAAGTGGAGATGTACTCTGGCTTAGCAGAGTGTGTGTTTCTGAAAGACTGGCATAGAGAGCAAAGGACACATGCTTGCCCTCTCACAAAGGATGTCTGTAAGAAATGTGGACACAACTCCAGAGACCATAAGGTTCACTCATTTTGGACATGGATAAAATTACGCTGTTATATATTGTCATACAACATTATAGCAGCAGTCTTCTACAACTAAATATGATTCTGTGTTGATGATATTATATGTGTGTGTGTGTGTGTGGGTCAACAATAACTAACAAGCTAACTAACTAATTAAAGTCATATTCATTTGATATGTGAATATAACAGGTCATTGTCCAGTAAATTCACAAGGGAAGGAGAGGGCATGTTGATAACCTTTCTATCCTGCCTCCTACATGCTTTACATTACAGTGCCACCACTTGACTGAAATAAACCAAGAGACCACATCTGACTGATCATACATGTATGAAACTCTACACTATGTCCAAACCTGAATCTCTGGTCAATGTCCAAAGTTCATACATGAAAACAGCTTATAAAGAATCCAATCAAACAAATCTTTTAAAAACACTGAATCTGAAGTTTTTGTTAACTGGTTATGATTTAAATTGCTGTAGACATTATCACAGATAAGTTAATGGTCTCATCTCCCAAACAAAAACTCAGATTTATGATTTGTTGTGATCTTTATAGTTTTTGTTACAGTTGGTAAAAGAGCTTTATATGCAGTTGCAAAGTGAGACGTTTTACAACTGGCTACCAGGCTGAAACCAACTATCAGCTTTTGGTTGCCTGAGTTGACTAAATTGTTAAAATATTATTACAAAGTATAACTGGAGTGATGGTTGATCTCTGTATACAAAGTATATGTCTTTCTTTTTCACACAGTCACAAACAAATATAGTCAGCATAAAAACAAGTGGCTCAGTTTAATTAGACAAAGACAGTTAACTGTTTTAAGTATGCCTGTGACAAACAAAGGGACACTGAATTGGTATTTTGAATATGCAAGATGGTGTGTTTGTAAGGTAAATCATATTTGGATGAATAACTAACTTGTGTAACCACAAGATCTGTGGTTCATCAGAGCTGTGTTAAATTTTTGATCTGGTGCTGCTGTGAAAAAAATAAAACTTGCAAAGCAGTTTGATGAGACATTGTACTGTTTTCTTAAAAAGCTGAATTGCTTTTTTATTTTCAGAGACATGATGTCTCTTGTGTACCTGCTGCCCCTCTGTGACTCCAAACCTTTGAAGATGTTTCTAAATGTTATTTGCTGTGGTTAAGCTTTTCTTGCATAGTTCAGTCTTGTGGATTATTAATGCTCATCAGTTGTCATTTGTGCTTTCTTTATACTCTGCATTTTATTTTATCTGATGGGCTGAATGATAACAATGGCAACACTTTCATTGAGGCAAGAGATTCTTCATTAAGAGCATAGGATGAAGTGGGTTTTATAAAGGGGAAATTCAAGAGCTTTTGGTAATGAGGGTCTACGCCAGTGTTGATGAACTATAAACAAAAACATGTAATCATTGCAGTGGAGTTAATACATTATATCCTGCC